CAGAAGGGAAACTGGTGGCTCGTTACCACAAGGTAAAGAAAAGCTTTGTCATCACACTGTAACTAACTGTCAAAATACTTTTAATCTCTAGGGCACAAATTTCAGAAGGTTTATAAAATAATTTTAGATTATTGTAGAATGACAGTCAGCACCAGGACAATCCAATGGAGGGCTCCTGCAGCTAGAGGAAAGAGCAGACAAGCACTTGGCAATATTTAAGAGCTATTCTCATGAACACTGTGGCTGCAGAAGGCATGCTATCAAACAGCTCAAGGCTACATTAGCGATAGCAAACTAGAATGAAGCTGTGGTGTATTCAGTCATCATCTCATTCAGTTAGATAGTCTTTGGCGTAGTTTTGAACAGGTCAGACTTTTCCCAAGTGATGTCTTGGCAGCAGGTAGCAGAAAGCCCTGGCTTGAAACTGCTGCCAGTAAGCAGCAGGAACAAGTCCGTCCTTTCTCAGTAGACCTCTGGGATGAGGATTTTACTTACTTTTGCTCCCTATCTTCACTGAGCCTTTTCAGGAGATCTCCAATGACTATGAAGGAGATGTCCAATGACATTTGAGTCGGAATGCGCATCTTGGCCTGAAGGAATCTCAACTGTCAGTTTTGCTTTAATCTCAGACACTAAAGTGGCATTCTGTAATCTTGCCTTATTTTTATTTCCTAATATGTCTTTTTCTTTGCCTGCAGTACAACCTGTTTAGACAAGAAACTCAGTTTAATTACCCAAAAGAGCCAGAGTTCATCACCTTTGAGACTCCCTTTGGGAAGTTTGGCATTTTCACTTGCTTTGACATCCTTTTCCGGGAGCCCGCCGTGGTGCTGGTGAGCGAGCTACAGGTGGACACGGTGCTTTTCCCAACAGCCTGGATGAATGTCTTGCCCTTTCTGACTGCTGTGGAGTTTCACTCTGCATGGGCTATGGGCATGGGAGTCAATTTACTGTCAGCAAATACTCACAACACCATCATGTCTATGACAGGTGAGTTGCTTTTTGTAAGGAGGAATTGTCTTCTTTTGTGTAAAGCACAAAAAGGTGCTTCTCTGAATTTTAGGTCATTTTTTTTACACTGTGAAATGTACTTTAGTGACTCTCTGCTTTAAAATTCTTTCACAATTCTGGTTAATATATTGACTGAAGACTGCTTCATGTGGTATGGGAACTGCTGAGTCATGGCCTGAACCTGTGATTGATTACCTAAGGCAAGCAATGAGTCAGCCACAGGAGCGTAGGTGAAGGCAATTCACCTGTGCTGCCGGAAGGGGTGGAGCCTGGCTCCATCTCTCCTAGACCCATTTAAGAGCTGACTACCAGGGGAGAAGGATCTTGTATGGAGATCCACTCTCCTGGAGTTTTGTAAGTGAGCCCAAGATATGGGCTCTATCTATTTCTATCTATTCTCTTTTTGTAACCTGCTTTGCCTAACATTCTTGTTTATTTCGTAATTGTAACATCTTAATATTCACTGATTACACTCATGTTTACACACAGCGCGCTCATGAGGCACCCGTGGTGGTTCACCCATCAGGTGGCGGTGACCCTGGGTTCCATGCATGTTGTTTGCAGGCAGCGGGCTGTTCACACCCCAAGGGCCGGCCATGTACTACTACAACAGCAAGACAAAGGAGGGACGTCTCCTGGTAGCAGAGCTGAGCGCACGACCTCGTCTTTCTCCTAACTATCCTGCTGCAGTCAACTGGAGCTCATATGCTACAAGTGTCAAAAACTATTCAGGAGAAAATAAGACCTTTTCAGGAGCTGTCCGGCGGGATATATTCACTTTCAGTGAACTTAAGCACAAAGCTGGAAATCACACAGTCTGTCAAAAAGACCTCTGCTGTCATTTGACCTATCGGATGTCAAATAAAAGTAAAGATGAAGTTTATGTACTGGGCGCATTTGATGGGCTTCATGGCTCTGTCATAAAATACCACTGGCAGGTAATTTGTTCAGCAAGGATTAGTGTAACTATATGCCAAAATGAATGAAAAATTCCAAAACATTCATTTGTTTTTGCATCAGAAGTTTTCTTGCTATCAAACACAGCTCTTGAGTATGAAAGCTTACTGTATTTTACTTTTCTGTGTCCTCTTCCCCACAGATATGCACCCTGCTCAAGTGTAAGAGCACAGACCTGAGCACGTGTGGGCAGCCAGCAGAAACTGCACAGACTAAGTTTGCCATGTTCTCCCTCAGTGGCACATTCAGCACTAACTATGTCTTTCCAGAAGTCTTGTACAGTGGTGTGCAGTTGGCCCCTGGGGAATTTGAGGTAATGGCACACTCTGGAGCTGTTTGTAGATATTCATAGTCTACACAGAACAGTGATGAGAATTTGACCTGTAGAAAGTAACTAAGCAAAGCAACATTTGGCTATTAGACTTCACTTCTCTTTACTTTCATCTGAAAATGATTTAGTGGGCTACAATTTAAAACAAGCAAACAAAAAAATTGCTGCCCTGGTCAGGTATATAACCTGCATCACTACGTATGAATAACTAACGAGAACATACAAAACAGTTACTGCCCTTTTCACATTCTTAAGGGGTGGAGAAATGATCTTTATTACAAAAATGGAGCTGGAGGGAGTTCTAAAGACTTTCTGGAAATGTGGGAGGGCAATTGCAGCATGACATTTTGATTGTCTGAGCTCTATTCCAGTGCCTAAAGTGCAAGAGTATTTCCATGTGCAAGATAGAAGATTCACATTCTTTTAATTCTTGTGATTGTCTTTAAAAAGTACTGCATCAAGTTATTTCACCTCAGAGACCTATCCTCTCTGTACCATGAAGTAGTGTTACTCTGTTATTGGATATTAGTATCATCCTTTCTCTATTCAACTAGGTACTGTCTGATGGACGTCTGCAAAGTAAGAATGGCACATCGAAACCACTCTTAACAGTGACGCTTTTTGGGAGGTGTTATGAAAAGGACCTGCCTCATCCCCTGCGAAGCTTCCTGTGATGTAACTCCCTAAATGTTAATCAGTCAGCATAGGCAAGATGAGAATTTCCCACAGTGATCCATAAGCTTCTCATGATTTGTAACAGTTATCCTGTATCATTCATATCCTTCAATCTTATTCTTCTGCTTAGTAGCCGGGGCAGATGAGTTTATTTAGAAGATCAGTGGTCACTCTATTGTGGACCTAGATCAGCAGTATCCTACTGTACTAGTGCTTGAGCCAGTGCATTTGTTATACTCTGTCATATGAAAACTCTGATTAGAAATTATTATATTTTTCAAAAATATAACATAGGTTGCTAGAATAATCCTAGTCATAAGACTGATGCTGAGATGTGTGGAATATGAAGTTGGCCACTTTTCTGTCAAACGAATCTTCCCCAAAGAAATTTCTCTGTCCCTTCTGGCTCTTTCTGTTTTTGAGACTGGAGGAGCACTAAATGTCTGCGTCCCTCAACTTCATGTGCCATTCACCAAGGCCTTCCTAATATTCAGTGGGACTCGGCCATTCTGACCAAGCTACTGTACAATGAAACAAAAACCAGATTTGAAATGGTTTTAGGTGCAATCTCCATGCAGTTTTTCATGATCCACACAGACAGTGAGTCTGCTCCATAAAGAACCTTCAGTTCTACGGTCCTGCACTGCTTTGCATGTGTGGCATACACATGCTAGGTCCAATGCATTTCAGATCACACTTACCTTATAAGTGTAGTACATCAAAACATTCCTCTGGATATTTGGAAAATTTCTTCAAAACTGTGAAAATGTAGGAAATGGCAATGTTTTAACCATACATGTAGTGTAAGAAATGTGCATTATCTGGGACTTCTAGTGATGGCACATGAAACTTGGTAGCCCTGGGCTGGCTTGTATCTACCATGTTTTGCAGCAAACAGGCCTTGTTTGATTAGTGTGATCCCTGCTTTAACATTAATCCCACAATCTTTTACATGTATTGTTCTTCACATCCCTGGCATGCGGGATGCACCGTGTTTAGCGTCCATTTGCCCTAAATATGGCACATAAACACTCCGTGGCTTCCCACCTCAAGCTCACCAACATTCATTATCCAAAATTTTTTTTAACCATATGAGTCCTGTTTTCTTTGTGCTGTTGCTTCTCAGTACCCAAGTTTGGAGACTTCTTTGAGGCTTTGTTTCATCCTGGAAAGAAAACAGCTGAGCTTATAACCAGAGGAGGGGCCATGCAATTTGGGAGCAGTTATTCAAACATGCAGGGCCTCAAGGTTGTGCTTTCCAGCAGCTCGTCCAGCACCTCACCCTTTTCTTGCCTGACTTGTGGTTGTAACCTGGAACAGCCATCAAACAAATCTTGGTCAAGACTGGGTATGACTTCCCAGTGGCAGTACTAATCCTACATGGCTATTGGTTGTGTAACAGGTATGGGGTCCCGAATTTCAAGACACAGAAGGCCATGCTGATGAGTGGGAGCTCATCCCTGCTCCCCAAGCCAGTCTAGTACCCTCCAGGGGCCTCTTACCTGGTTTGTATTGGGCAGCAGTTTGGGAAGGGCAAACAAGTACAAGCGTGCTGGTTTTGAAGGTTTGTGGTGTCATTCTGATGACAACATAGGTCTCTTGGTTTTCACTGGAGTCAACTGTCAGGCTCGTATAATGAAAAGAAAAGCAGCCAAGAGCAGCATGTGAATGTAATTTGAGTTTTGTTTTTCTTGCCACAGTCAAATCTCTTGATTAAAGCCTGTTTTTTTCAGTGGTTGGTATCAATAGGATTACTTTTTCTTTTCCCATCCTTCCCCTTCCACACACACAAAGGAAGAATCTGGGGTCATTTTAAGGATTATCAGTGTCATTCTCATACTGGTTGCTGGTTCTCTAAATCCTGAGTATTTTGTGCACTCCAAATGGACATGGAATTGATAAAAATCTTTCTAAAGCTGGAGAGGAATACAGACAGGATTGAACAAACGGTAGACATTCAGCTTATTATTTATTACCAGGCTTATCTTTCTCACGGCAGGTTTGTCTAGACCCTGTGGAAAGTAAAGTGCCTGCTGTTATTTCAGCAGGCATTATTTGTTGAGCAAAAATAACAAAATGAACTTTTGGCCTACATCCTTGCTATTTTACTTAGATGTTTTTTAGGATATACTCTCCAGGCCTTGCTGGAGATTGTCCTAAGTTCTCTATATAGCATTTAGTTCTGCTTTATCTAATTGTTGATATCTAACGCCTGTCTCTCCTACTTTCAGTTTGTCTGCACTAAAAGCCAAATATCTTAAACTAATGAATTCTCACTGAGGTCTGGTAAGGACAAATGGGGACAGTGAAGTTACTATATTACTAGTAAAATCAATGTTGGTACATCAGTTCACGTCTGCTGATCATGCGCCTGCGGAGTCAGAGACTTCCTGCATTTAATTTTGATTTCAGCTAGTTTTAATTTTGATTTCAGATAGTTGAGCTCTCTGCTTAGTTCATGCTTCAAGATAACCCTCACATCACCTGACTGGGTCTGGCCAGGGTTGGAGGTTCTGGTTTCTAACCAGGGCATTTCTTATAAATAATAGTTCATAAAGCTCCATATAGTTCAAGTAGCACTTGGGCACCTCTCTCAGACATGAGGTTTGAATCTTGGGTGGTTATATCCAGAGCCAGGGGTGGGCTCAATGATCACTATGTGTTTCTCAGAATATTTCTGAAATTTCAATTTGTGAAAGCTCTTTATAATTCATTCATTGAAACTTACAGTTTGAAAAAATAATTGTGTGTCCGAGCAGAAATCACACATTTGACACTGTGATATAAAATGGAATAGCAAGCTGTTGAAGTCTAGCCATTAATGGATGATGATGTACTTCCTGGTAGCTAGCCTGAAAGACAGAAAGCTTTGGCAGGTGAAAGTACATGTGTGGTGCCTTTCATAACAGATGTCATTTAGCTGTACCTCGAGAGTATCAGATGGCTTTATTTATAAGAGCTGGAGTTATAAACAAATAAAAAGCTTCAGTCTGATCATTCATATTGGTAAGCAACAGGCTTAAAAATTCATTTTGCTGAAGACTTCCTGATCTTTAATGTTACACTAGATATTTTGAATTCTTTGTTCACATTAACATTAGCCTCTGCTTGAAGGGATTCTTCCAAGTTCAGCATTGGACTAAATGAAAGGTAGACATGCAAACTCTCTCAGTTGGGTTTCCTACAACACTTACTGGTTGTAATTACACTTGGGTTTTACCAAGGGATTTTTACAGTGCCAGTTGTTTTCTGCTGAGTATTTTCTTACACATCATTGCTCTTCTTTCACTAAGGCTGCAAACCATAACTCTACTTGATTTTCTAATGCTTAGCATTAGATGGTATCTTGATATCAAATGAAAATTTGCCATAGTAGCACTTCCATAAAGAAAGGAGTAAAGTCTATCCTCTCACGTAGAATAGGAGATGAAGTGCAAATAAACTGATGTTTGCAGTAGATGCTAATTAAGATGCCAGAATATTTCATATTACAAAAAATACTTTATATATTCAAAGCATCATTATCACTGGTTGCAGCTGTAATTGCTGGCTACTTATAAAAATCAGCTCCTCTCATGCACCCAGAAAATGAGAAAGATGTTTAGTGAAACTTCAGAAAAACTGGTATGGAATAACCTACCTAAAAACATATATAGAGGCAGTAGAATTACCACATGGATAGAGAATGTTAGAAAGAATGGACAGGAGAAAAGGGACCTTCACAAAGCTCCACTTTGGGCATTAGTTCATGTAGACACCCAGGACAGCAAGGTTTACAGGATTCAGAAATGAGAAACAGTAAAGACTGCAGTTCAGAACAAAATGGCCTACAGGGGAAGAGAGGAAGGAAGAAAGCTCTTCTGGTGAAAAGTCACACTGCTTGGATTTGTCTTCCTGAGATGAGGCAGCAAATAGTGTATGTGAAAGGGTGCAGGCTTTGACTGGTAGTTTCTGTACAGGCTGAACTGCTGCACCTGCAGTGTCACTTTACTCATGCACAGTGCAGCTACTTCCTGCAGCAGCAAGCAATTGTTGAAGCAGAATAATAGAATAATTTTAGTTGGAAGTAACCTTTAAAGATCATCTGATCCAACATCCCTGCAATGAACAGAGACACCTACAGCTAGATCAGGGTGCTCGGAGTCCCTCCATGCTGACCTTGAGTCTCTCCAGGGATGAGGCATCCACCATCTCTCTGGGTAACCTGTTCTGTTGCCTCACCACCCTTACTGTAAAAAACTTTCTCCGAAATAAATCTCTCTTCCTTTAGTTTGAAACCATTTCCCCTTGTCCTTTCACAACAGACTGCTAAAGAGCCTGTCCCCTTCTTTCTTACAGCCCCCCACTACTTGGTCTCCCTGGAGCCTTCTCCAGATTGAACAGCCCCAACTCTCTCAGCCTGTTCTCATAGGAGAGTTTTCCATCCCTCAGATCATCTTTGCAGCCCTCCTCTGGATGTGCCCCAACAGGTCTGTGTCTCTCCTGAGTGGGGGACTCCACATCTGGATGCAGTACTCCGGGTGAGGCCTCACCAGCACAGAGTAGAGGAGCAGGATCACCTCTCTCACCTTGCTGGCCATGCTTTTTTTGATACAGCCCAGGAGGTGGTTGGCTTTCTGGGCTACAAGGGCACTTTGCTGGTTCATGTCCAACTTCCCATCCACCAGTAAAAACAGCCTACAGTACAATGCGGACTTTTGGGCTTGCACCTGGGCAATTAGAAATATTCAAATTTACTTATTGTTTCTAGGCAAATAGCATGCACCAATCATAGTCAAATCCATTTGAGAAAAGGCAACAAAAGCTTCTGTGTGAGAACAGAAGCTCCACTTGATTTGCTTATTGATGTGTATGCCTTTGTGGGCGATTTTATTTTTTAGTGGCTTTCAGTAGAGCAGCCACCTTCAGACCAGAAGGTGTGAATTTTCCCCTCTGTTCAGCCTCATGTCCTCTCTGCTGCTTTGCCAGTCCCACACTCCCCTTCCTCCTAACACAAGTGAGCACACAAATATTGTGACCTGAGCTGTGCATGTCCTGCTTGGGACTTAGAGAAACCTCAGAGGAGCAGGAGCTGACTTTCCATCAGTGCAACTCACTAGCTGACACATGGAAACTAGCCCAAAATGTGTCCTCTCTCTTGGAATTACTTCTTACTGGTAGGACTCTCTCCTTGGGCTCCTCAGCAATACTGAAAATCTTGCTGTTAGAAGATGCAGGTACTTGTAAACGAGCTTTAAAAATGAGCAAGTTGTGATTTGATCACTGATGATTTATAATTTGTCCATACTTAGGTATAGATCCTCTGGGATGGCAAAAGAGGTACAAATAGGCAATCAACATTTATTAAGTCTCTGCTACAAAGCATACTGAAACCAGATCACATAAACA